TGATACCGTTAGAGCGGTAGGCCCACAAGTGGTTGTACCGGTTATTGGATTGCCCCCTCCGGTTATTGGATTGCCCCCTCCCTCTGGAGGGAAGAAGCGAAGGCGCAACGCTTATCTGGAAATTAGACGCTCTGTAGTCAGCCCATCTAATATAGGGGGTTTGGGTCAGGCTAAATCTTGGTGTAAATAGTTTATGCTGGACACCGGTGTCCTGTCTTGACTAGCGTGTCTAGGTGTAAATTTCGGTCGCTAGGTCGGGGAGGCCGGCGAGACTAAGCAGATTTTGGTGTACATTCAGTCTGCTAGTTCTCAACCTATCTTGGCTAAGTGTGCCTGGTTGTAAATTCAGCCACTAGACTATTGACAGAGTAGATAGACTAAATGGGTACTGTTGTAAGTTCCGCCCACTAGTTCGCTATATGTGGTAAGTATCTAGTGTTTGGTAAATCTTTGTGAGTGAGACGTCGTGATATCACTGTATGTACGAGAATTCTCTGTGTGTTATCGTGTGTGTGTGTGTTTGGCCTAGCAACTGTGCCACGTGGTGCTGTTGCCAGGGAAACAAGTGTGATCGTTGGAAGTGTTTTTGGGGTATTGTGTTTCTTTGTATTAGACACTCCGTTGCCAGTATGGGTGCGTCTGACTCAAAGATTGTTGATCCCTTGTCATGTATGTTGAAAAACTTTGCAAAGGGATATAAAGTTTGTGATTTTGGGGTGAAATTATCCCCAAAGCGTTTGACTACATTATGTAGTAGAGAGTGGCCTATCTTGGTGACCACATGGCCTCCACGTGGTAGTCTTGATCTAACTCTAGTGCAACGTGTGCACGCGGTTATATCTAGTAGGCCTGAATTCTATGATCAGTTTCTGTATATTGATTGTTGGAAACAGATTGTGGAAGAATTGCCTAAATGGATTAAGGTATGCCACGAGGAGCAATGTTGCCTCATGGTGGCCAGGACTTGCCTGTCCATCAGGGCCGCAACCCCGCCCATTTTAGACTCTCCCTCTGAGTGTGAACTTCCCTCCCCATACCCTTACTCCTCCTCTAAGGTTAGAGGAGGTGCTGCTGGTGTTCCCTTTCCCATTGTCCCTGCCCACTCATTCATCTAGTTTACAGCCCAGCTCACTTGCCTTGAGTCCTCCCCTTCAGGTACCTACCTCCACTATTGCTATAAATCCGGAATTAACGTCACTTCTGGTTCCTGGTCAGGCTCCTCCCAGCCCGGCCCTCAACATCTTGTTGACTGAACGGTAAAATTAACCCGCCTCATTCTCCTTACCTTACTACCCCTAGACCGGAACTTACTATAAATTAACCCGACAGGTGACTGGTACCCTTCAACCCCGACATTACCAAATGCCCCTCCGACTTACACCAGGCCCAACACACGTTGATGAAAATGGCCAAATACAACAGGCAGATCCAGTGTTTGTCTATGTCCCCTTCACCACAACTGAACTATTCAATTGGAGGACTCATAACTCTTCGTATACCGACAAACCTCAAGTCATGACAGATTTGGTTACCTCTATTATACAAACACACAATCCCACCTGGGCCAATTGCCAACAATTATTAACTTTATTTAATTGTGAGGAAAGGACCCGGATTAATCAAGAGGCTATTAAAGCACTTGAGGAAACGGCCCGTACTCAAAATCAGGCCAATTTAGCTGCATGGGTTGCAGCCCATTATCCAAATGTTGACCCAAATTGGAATGTGAATGGTGCTGACATGCCCCAATTAAGGGATTATTGGGAAGCCATTATTGCTGGCATGAAGGCAGGAGGGAAGAAGGCAATCAATATGTCAAAGACAGCTGAGGTGTTGCAAAAGGTTGATGAGTCACCTTTTTATGAAAGATTATTGGAGTCATATAGATTGTATACTCCTCTTAATCCAGAGGCCCCTGAGAATTCTCAAATGATTAACTCAGCATTTGTCAGCCAGGTCCAAGGTGATATTAAAAGAAAATTGCAAAAGTTAGAAGATTTGTAGGGATGTCCATATCACAGCTAATGGAGATCGCAAATAAAGTATATATGAATAGGGAAACTGAGAAAGCGGGAGGAAGAACTTAAATGAGGAAGAAGGCAGATATGCTAGCGGTAGCTATCACAAGTGTAGAAAGACAGGGAAGAGAGGTGAATAAAGTCAAGAACAGGCTGAGTAAGGGACCTTTACGTAGGAATCAATGTGCGTTTTGTAGAGAGGAAGGACATTGGAAGAATGAGTGTCCACAGAGAGAGCATTATGAAAATAATAGACAAGGAGAGAGAAGAGTACGGGGAGGTTATAGTGGTAGTTATAGAGGAAGAGGAAGTTTTGGAGGGAACGGTAGGAATAGTAGAGGGAGTGTTCAAGGAGATAGATATTATCCGCCTACTCAGAGACCAAGAGATAGAGAGGATAGAGATTTTGTGGGTCTGGCTAACACTATCATGGAAGACTATTGATACCGACCGGGCTCCATCCCCCTTGGCCGAGCGGAGCCTATGGTCAATGTAGCAATAGGGGAAAAGAGAAGTTCTTTCATGATTGACACTGGTGCTGAACATTCCGTGGTGACTAAATGGTGGCCCCGCCTTCAGGAAAAACTATAACTGTGATAGGAGCTACTAGGAGAAGCGCAGCTAGACCGGTTCTTAAAAGTCACACTTGCATTCTGGGAGGCCATTTGGTGAAGCACCAGTTCCTATATATGCTAGAGTGCCCGATTCAACTTCTAGGATGAGATCTATTATCGAAGCTTCAAGCCCAGATAACTTTTCTACCTAATGGATCAACGTCTCTGAGGTTTAATGGATTACCAGGCATAATAGAAACATAGAAACATAGAATGTGACGGCAGATAAGAACCATTCGGCCCATCTAGTCTGCCCAATTTTCTAAATACTTTCATTAGTCCCTAGTCTTATCTTATAGTTAGGATAGCCTTATGCCTATCCCACGCATGCTTAAACTCTTTACTGTGTTAACCTCTACCACTTCAGCTGGAAGGCTATTCCATGCATCCACTACCCTCTCAGTAAAGTAATACTTCCTGATATTATTTTTAAACCTTTGTCCCTCTAATTTAAGACTATGTCCTCTTGTTGTGGTAGTTTTTCTTCTTTTAAATATAGTCTCCTCCTTTACTGTGTTGATTCCCTTTATATATTTAAATGTTTCTATCATATCCCCCCTGTCTCGTCTTTCCTCCAAGCTATACATGTTAAGATCCTTTAACCTTTCCTGGTAAGTTTTATCCCGCAATCCATGAACCAGTTTAGTAGCCCTTCTCTGAACCCTCTCTAAGGTATCAATATCCTTCTGAAGATACGGTCTCCAGTACTGTGTACAATACTCCAAGTGAGGTCTCACCAGTGTTCTGTACAATGGCATGAGCACTTCCCTCTTTCTACTGCTAATACCTCTCCCTATACAACCAAGCATTCTGCTAGCATTTCCTGCTGCTCTATTACATTGTCTGCCTACCTTTAAGTCATCAGAAATAATCACCCCTAAATCCCTTTCCTCATATGTTGAGGTTAGGACTCTATCAAATATTCTGTACTCTGCCCTTGGGTTTTTACGTCCAAGATGCATTATCTTGCACTTATCCACATTAAATGTCAGTTGCCACAATTCTGACCATTTTTCTAGTTTACCTAAATCATTTGTCATTTGGCTTATCCCTCTTGGAACATCAACCCTGTTACATATCTTAGTATCATCAGCAAAAAGACATACCTTACCATCAAGACCTTCTGCAATATCACTAATAAAAATATTAAAGAGAATGGGTCCAAGTACAGATCCCTGAGGTACCCCACTGGTGACAAGTCCAAGCTTCGAATATATTCCATTAACTACAACCCTCTGTTGCCTGTCACTCAGCCACTGCCTTACCCATTCAACAATATTGGAATCCAAACTTAAAGATTGCAGTTTATTGATAAGCCTTCTATGTGCAACAGTGTCAAAAGCCTTACTGAAATCTAGGTAAGCAATGTCTACTGCACCACCCTGATCTATAATTTTAGTTACCCAATCAAAAAAATCAATAAGATTAGTTTGGCATGATCTCCCAGAAAGTAATGACAAGTGTAAACCCTAAGAGTGATGAACCTTTATTTGACATTCCAGGAGTATGGGCAGAGAATAATCTACCTGGGCTTGCACGTAATATTCCACCTATACATATTGAACTAAAGCTTGGGGCCTATCCTGTGAGCCTACGTCAGTATCATATACCTCAAAAGGCTAAGAAAAACATACAGACCTACTTGGAACACTCCATTATTACCAGTTCAGAAACCAGGATCAGATGAATATCAAGATTTGAGAGCAGTTAATGATGCAGTAGTTAATATACACCCAGTTGTACCCAACCCTTATAATCTGCTTGCTTTGATACCAGGTGGGGCAACCTAGTTCACAGTTCTAGACCTTAAGGATGCTTTCTTTTGCCT